CCCCAGGGACAAGGGGGGACCTCGGGGCTCGGCAGCAGGCGAGCGGCCGTGCCCTCACTCAACATGGCGGCGGCGCCGACCCGCCGTGCCCTCACTCAAGATGGCGGCGGTTCCCCGCCCTCTCCGCCGACTTTCCCTGTGCCCTCACTCAAGATGGCGGCGGCCGAGACGGCGTCGCGACAGGGCGGGGCGGGCGGGCGGAAGCGCAGGTAGGAGCCGCGCCGCCGGTAGTGCCTGTCCCGGCCCGGCCCGGCCCCGCACGGCCCGGCACCATGGACTGTTACACGGCCAACTGGAACCCGCTGGGCGAGGAGGCCTTCTACCGGTGAGGGGGGGCCTGGGCCCGGTACCGGTATCGGTACCGGCGAGAGGCGGCCCCTCCCCGTCCCTGGGGCCGGCCAGGGGGTCCCGGGGCCGGCCGTGGGGCTGCTCGGGGGGGTCTCAGGGCTGGTCATGGGTCTTGGGGCTGGCTGGGGGGGTCCCGGGGCCGGCTGGGGGGTGGGCGCTGTCCCTAGTCCCCCATCCCTCGGTCTGCCGCCTGTCCATCCGTCCGTCCGTCGCTTTCAGTAAGTTCGAGCTGTACACCATGGAGTGGAGCCTGAAGGAGGACCTGCGGGACTGCCTGGTGGCGGCCGCCCCATATGGAGGGCCCATAGGTAAGGGCTGGGACCCCCGGGACGCCACGCTGGGGCAGAAGCCCCCCAGGCACGCGGGGCAGGGGTTGTCCTGCACCCCCGGCAGTGACGGCAGAGGGGCCGCAGCTCAGACAGACTGTCCCATCCCTCCCACAGCTCTGCTGAAGAACAACGCCCGGAAGGAGAAATCCCCTGGCGTCCGCCCGCTGCTGGAGATCTACTCGGCCTCGGGGCTTCTCCTGGCCAGCATCCCGGTGAGCTGGCCCGGGGTCGGCCACCCCCTCCTTTAAGCTGTGTTCTGGGTGCTCCTTGGAGATCTGTGATGTGCCAGGGAGCTTAGGCAGTCCTAGCTGCCCCTTGGAGAACGCCAGAGGCTGTAGCGCTCTGCCCCTCGCAGCGATAAGCCCACGGGCAGGAGGACCGTGGAAGGGCTCACCGGTGGCACCAAAGGCTGGGTTACCAGCTGGGTGTTGTAGGTGAATCACTGGCTGCGAGACTGGCAGTCACCTCTGCCTGTGCCACTCGCTTGCGTGCCCTTGGGCAGCTTCTCTGATCTGTCTGTGGGGAAGCTGGATGCTACGACGTGTCCTCAACACCTTAAGCTCTCTGGGGCAATGGCTCTGTGCAGCTCCTGCAGCCCCCTGAAAGCTTTGGAGAAGCTGCTCAGAAGTGGTGGTGTGTGTAGGGGGTGGAGCAGGGGAGCTGTAGGGAGAAGGAGGCTGCCCAGCCCTGGCAGAAGAGGACAGGGTGGGGACAGGAGCCGCAGGGTTGGTGCCACAGGAACATCCTCCCTTCCCTGCTGTTTGGGGCTGGGGCAGACGCAGGGCAGTGAGGACATGGAGGGATGGGGAAAGCTGCCACAACCACAGGGCCTTGCAGAACCAGGGGCGTCAGACCTCTGGATGCCCAACCATGGCCGTTGGCTTCACATATGTCTCCTGGAGGGACATCTCTGGGGCTGGGCTGGCTGGGAGACGAGCAGCCCTGTGGTACGCTCACGTGTCTCCTGCCCACAGTGGAAGAGCGGCCAGCTGGTGCAGCTGGGCTGGACGGCCAGCGAGGACCTGCTGTGCATCCAGGAGGATGGCACCGTTCTCGTCTACAACCTCTTCTGCGAGTTCAAGCGCCACTTCAGCATGGGCAATGTGAGTGGGGCAGGACAGGGAGCTCAAGAGATGCCCGGGGTTGGGTTTGTGCAACGAAGTGAAATGCTGCACGGCTTCCCTGAGTGCTCCCCCAGCCCCACGAGGCACAGCGGGGCTCCTGGGGCCAGAATGATCCCCTCTTCACTGCAGGAGCAAGGCCTGTCTGAGCTGGAACATGTACCAGCAGTGCAGCACAGGGCTGGGCTCACTCCTCCCTGGGGTGGTTTTGTTCCCAGAGCAGCGGCAGCATGGTGCTGAGCCCCGGCTGCTCTGGCCTGGGCCCAGCTCTCTCTCTGGTGCAGGAGGTGCTGCAGAACCATGTGCTGGAGGCGAAGGTCTTCCACACGGAGTACGGCACTGGCGTGGCCATCCTCACCGGTGCGCACCGTTTCTCCCTGACCACCAACATTGACGACCTGAAGCTGCGCAGGATGCCTGAGGTTCCTGGTGCGTCCCTTCCCCGCTGCCCCCCGCCTCGGCCGGGTGCGGGGGCCTGATGCTGGTTCCCGGCAGGTCTGCAGAAGCCGCCCTCCTGTTGGGCCGTGCTGTCCCAGGACAGAGTCACCATCATCCTGCTGGCAGTCGGACAGGACCTCTACCTCCTGGACAACACCTCCTGCTCTGTGGTGGTGAGTGAGCCGTGGCAGGTGTCCGTGGGGAGCAGGGTGGTCTGCAGCCCCCTGCACTTCCTGGCAGGTCCTTCCTCCTGCTGTCCCACGGGTGGATGTGTACAGCAGGGACATCTGGCCGCATCCTGCCCAGGGGCAAAGGGGTGAGGGTTGGGCGGGCGCAGGGTGGGAAGGGACACCCCCGCTCTGACCAGTCCTCAGCACCTTACGCAGCATTGGTGCTGATGTGCGGCACGTCCTGTGTCCCCAAGTGTGACCCTCATTCTTTCCCTGTCCCAGACCCCTCCTGGCATGAGCCCCTCCGCCGGTGCTTATCTGCAGATGGCTGTGTCCTTCAACTACCGCTGCCTGGCACTCTTCACCGATACTGGCTACATCTGGATGGGGTTGGCCACACTGAAGGTGAGCGTCTCCCTTCCCTCCTTGTCCTGGGGCATTAGGGTGTCAGCCCACCCCTCCTCTCCCAGTCTGGCAGACAGATCCAGCAGTGTGGGGCGTCAAAGCAAGTTTCCTCGGGGTCCCCATGGACTTGGGGCTGCAGGTCAGGCTCGCTGCCATCCGCAGGCGTCTGCACTCCTGCCATCAGGAGATCCACCCTGTTTTATTCTTTACCTGATTTTATCCCTTACTCCCACTTCTTCTATTTCTGCACCCATCTTTTTGCTGGCCTTGCACCTCCCTTTCTCTGTCCAAACTCCCCCCAGATCAACAGCCCACCACTAATTACTTTTTCTCCGGTGGTCACAGTTCTGCTACATCCATACCCAAACTTGCTGGACCTAGTACCATTTTCTGGGCAATCTGATACTTATCATCACTGCAGGTGTGGTCACTTCGGCATAGGGCCCTTGCTTGAGAGTCACGATTCCGCCTTGCAAATTCCCCCACGCTGTGGGGCTCATGCTGGTGAGGTGCTGTTTGCTTTCCATGTCCTCCGAGACCAATCCTTCTCCTTTTGCCATTGTTCGCTTACCAGACCTCAGTTGAGCATGAGCAATTTTTTGCTCTATGTGTAGGCAGGCTGTGGGCTGCAGCAATGGAGGAATGTTTTTCACGTTTGGTTTAAGCGCTCGTGCAGCATCCTCG